ATTCGGACTCATAGCGACTCTGTAGGTCAGAGGGGAACCTAATTTGCTGTGTAAACTTTCACCTGAAACACAATAAAATATTATTTAAAAAAAAGATAAAACTCAACTTCCTCCCTGGTTAGAGATTTATCCAAGAGTCCGCTAGCAAAGGTCACCAAATGACTTTTAGCTGTATTTCTCTTTGTTAGTTGGATGGCATCCTGGTCTCCTGGTGCTGCTGTAATACCACAAGTGGATGGCTTTAAAGAACAAAAAGTTACTGTCTCACAGTTCTGGAGACTAGAAGTCTGAATTCAGAGCGTGGCTCTATGCAGAGGCCCTTCTTTATCTATTTCAGCTTCTAGTAGTTGGTAATCCTTGGAGTTCCTGGGCTTGTAGATTCTTCTGCGTCCATCATCAGATAGTGTCTGTCTTCCCCTCATTTGTGCTTGGTCATCTCCATGTCTGTAGTGCTCCTTATATCTCAGAAGTGATTAGGTCGAGGACATAACTTGCACCAATATGGCCTTATTAATGGAGCAAAGAAAATCCTAGTCCCAAACAGAGTCACAGCCACAGGTATAAGGGTTAGGACTCCAAAACATCTTTCCAGGGGACACAATCCAACCCATAACAGATGGTACACTCATTTATCACTCCTAATTCTGGATCCCCATGAAGTGCAGATATGACATAGGCCAAGTGCGGAAAGCATTAGGATCTCCTGATTCAGTCTTGAAACCCCTCAAGAGTGTGGGTGGGTCCCAGGCTGACGTGAAGACACTGTCTATTGTAGAATTGGCCTTCGAGCATGAATTCAGGATGATCCCTCCACGGAAACTCTCGTGACTCAGGCAGACCTGGCGAGCTTTCTCTGCAGACGCTACTCCTCATACTCCTTTTTCATCTCGACTGAGGAAGCATAACCCCCACGGACTGTCCCCCTTTAGCTCTCTCCCCCTTTAGTGCTGTGGCCCTGCCATCCCGGTGTGAGGCATCTGGCCGGCACCCTCTGTGCATGGCCCTCCACCACGTGGTTCACACCTGTAGGCATCGAAACACTCTGTCACCCCAGGGCACAGGGGACATGGTTACTCCTTGCAGTGCGTACTCCAGTATCAGAGTCACTGGAACCCGAGTGCCGACTGGGCTGTGGTTTCATAAAGCAAGGGGTTGTCTCTTTTGTCACGTGTTAGAAATGGTTGGCTAGTTTCATAGCTGTGGATTTCTCCCCTCTTGTCTCCTCAGAAATTGCAGGTGCTCCGGTGTCTGAAATTTCTGGGCCTTTCTCAACAGACGACATAGCCAGCAACTGCGTCCCCACCCTCCCTCTGAAGGAGCCCATTCTCTGGATCGTCTCTTGTTCGCTCATGGGCGTGTGTGGAATCATCCTTCTCATCTTAATCATCCTGCTGCTACTTCCGTTCCGGTGTCAGCATCGCCCCTGCCACCCCGAGGTCGTCAATGACGAGTCCTCTCTCGTGCGGCATCGCTGGAAATGAACCGTTACCTGCACTCGGGTGCCCTTGAACTCAGCCAGGATGAGAGTAATGTCTCAAGTACAACAAGCAGGGCTGTGAGGCCTGGGCTTCCTCCTGTATCCACAAGTCTTAAATCACTGTTGTACTCTCAGATGCCTTCCAGATTCACTGTATTTTGATTCTTGATTTTAAAGCTTTCTCCTTCTCCCCTACATCCAAGAGAAATAATAATGATAATAAAAAACCCCACCTCTTTCTAAACCAAATCAGAGTGAATTGGACTTCGAACTTTATGTGACTGGTTATGCCAAGATGTCTAGACATGCCACCAAAGAACTAAAGGCATGGCTCGTTCACGTCTCTCAGATCTCTGGAGAAAGCGCGCAGAGTCTTAGCTTTTGGGAAACCTTTTATCTTAATTGCATTTAAGGATATTTTGCACCAGATCTCACCCCAGGTCAGTGCGGGAGGAGAAGGCTTGCAATATAATGGCAGGAGAAGAAGCCGGGGGTGCTATTCCCTTCTGAGTTGGAAACAGGGCAGCAGCCCTTTCTGTGGGTCTCTCTGTCTTTCTCTGTGCTCTGAATGGGAGCTGGAACCCACCAGGAGGTCATTCCCTGACAGTACTCACCAGCCTCTTCTGAAGATGGACAGCCTTTGCTCATCGCGGTAGAGTGGGCAAGAAACCTATCCTTTTGTGCCCAGTATTTCTGGGTGTCATTGGTGTAAACTAAAAACCTACCTCTGTTGAGACTTTGCCCAGGGTGCCGTGCCTGTGGGGGTACAGCAGCCTGGTTGCAGCCATTGCCCTCACCAAAAGGAACCCCCATTCCAGCAGGCAAGACATCCCAGGTGCTGAACTGTGCATCAACCCAGAAACATCCTGTCCCCCAGCTGGTCCTTGTCACACATGCTTACTCTTACTTAAAATTAAGAAGCAGTGTCTTAATGAGAAGAATCATATTTCACTAGTTTGGTTATGGAGTCCCTGGGTGGTGCAAACGGTTAAGCGCTCGACTATGAACCGGAAGGTTGGTGGTTCGAACCCACCCAGAGGTGCCTCAAAAGACAGGCTGGCTTCCAAAAGGTCACAGCCTTGAAAACCCTATGGAGCAGTTCTACTCTGCAACATATGGGGTCGCCATGAGTCAGAATCGACTCGATGACAACTAACAACAGTTTGGTTGTTTTTCTTTCCAGATCTTCTCTAGAAGTAGATGGTTACTACCCTATTGAGAGACAGGGAAATGGTTAAATGCCCATACTTCAGACCAACTATCAGGGAAATGAGAGGCATGAAAAGAAAGTTGAGGGAAATTAGACTCTTCTTCGTGCTTTGAAACCATGTCTTTCCATTTGTAGAACCCTCTGGGCTCAAGCTCACCACCCTAATCAGTGTAAGCAAATCTGCTTAGCATTTGACTTACCTGCTCCTTGCCTTTGGCGACTTCAGTCTTTGGTGACGAATTGGGTGTGCGGTGGTATCCTTATTTGGGCAAATCCCACGTATTAGCATTGTTTGAGGCCTTTGCCAAAGACAAGTGTAAGCCTTTAACTTGATGTAGCCAGCCTTCTGTGACCTGATGTAATTTGGAGAAGGGTTCAAAGCCAATGTCCCTCCTCTTTTGGTGGTACACCAAGTTCAGTGTTCTCTTTGCATTGCTTTTGGGATGGGTTGGACATACAATAAAATTCCACTCTAAGGGCTAAGTGTTGAGTACCTCCTCTGACTGAAATGTCGTTTGTGTTCTTGTGCGTATTTCAACCATCTGTTCTGCTCACTAGTCCCAGGTAGCACAGACAGTTAAGTGTGTGGCTACTGACTGAAAGGTTGGTGGTTTGAATCCACCCAGAGGCACCTTGGAAGAAAGGCCTGATGATCTAATGTCAAAAGATCACAGCCATTAAACACCCTGTCAAGTACAGTTCTGCTGTGACACACAGGGTCACCACGAGTCGGAGCCAACTTGACGGCAACTGGTTTTACTGGCTTTGCTCACTCAGTCCCCAGATACCTCCATATTAAGAATTATGTGGCTGTTCTAAAGAGGGTAGACACTTTCGTATGTCATGGTGTCTTCACAGACTCTCCAGCAACCAAAGTGAATCTTCTGGGAGCTTCTTGTGAGTTGATACGAGTTATATCTTGGAAGGAAAATTAATCTGTTGTGTGTTCTTCAAGATGCGTTCATGCATGGAAGGGGTGATGCCCTGTTGGAATAGTGTAGAGACAAGAGATTCTGTTATCAGATGCTCAGTATCACTTCTGGTCCCAGCTAGTCAAGAGCTGATCATTTCAAAAGGCATTTCTGCATGAACTCTCTGGAAACCCAACTCTCGTCCTGTTGGCTTTTTCATTGATCCCTGTTTTGTGGACCACTTCACGTAGAAGTGGAGTCAATGCCCGTAGACGCTGTCCTCCCCTTGCTATGAAAAATCCAGACCCCTGACATAAAAAGAGGTCATTGCAGGTCTGACCTGGTTAGCTTTGCTGCTTATTCTTTATGCAGTCATCCTGTATTATCATGTTAGGTTTCTGAGATGGAAGACGTTCTTTTTGCAGCAGATGGGCAGACACTGCTCCCAGCCTACACAAGAATAGCAAGTTAGGTTTCAAGTTATGGTATTTGGATGAATTTGCTATAATGCTCTGTATTTCATACCGAATTTCTCCACCTTTTCATCTCAGATGTCATTGGATGTGACATTTTAATGGAAACACTTAAATGACAAAGGCATAACTTAGCAACAAGAATGAAATAGACAATTGAATATGGGACATTTTCTGGCATGCCCTTGCCACTAAAAATTGCATTTTGAGTCAAAACTCTGTTAGGGACACCCTCCTCCTCAAGTGATGTAAATTGTTACTTAGCTTGGCAAACATTCAAGGAGACTTGCTTTGAACAGGAGAGGAAGTAGCAACCCTTTGAGGGTGTCATTTTTACCTTGCGATACACTGGAAAATGCTGGAACACGATCCTTTCCTGAAAGATGCAGCTTAGCATGAGGTTGTTGTCCTAAACCTCGTCAGCTCTCCGACGGGAAGTGGATGCTTCTATGTCAACAATATTTTAAACAGAACAACACTTTGTGTTCTCGATAACTTATTTGGAAGTCTGAAGTGAAATCCTGGCTTTGGTAACTGAAACAGCTTATTAAAAAAATGTACAAGAAATGAGACGGGAATTGATTCTTTCTTCTTTTTCCCCACGTGAATTCAAAAGAACCACAAGCAATGGGTGTCAGATGATTTGTGTGTACAGTACACGATTTCACATTTCTTGGGAACCTAAGACAAAGTACTGGGCATTAAAGAACCAGATGTCTGGTGTGTGATGGCAGGAAATGTGGCCCTGAATGCACTGCACCCCCAAACACTTGGAAGGTCTTTGCCTGATTCATTGTTAGATGCAGAGGTTACATCTTGGAAGAAATGGGGGTTCAGTTACGGTTCAAAATTACTGAAGTAATTCTCTGCAGTACAGTTTCACCAGCTCCACGGAGCTCTAGATAATAGATTTGGAAAGGGGTGGTGATTTGGGGGTGCGATTATCTCATTTGAGAGGTGAAGAGGGATTATTTAATGGGCTCTGCATGCGAATGACAATTTGTTAAATTACTCTTGCCACTTTCTTGCTTTATGGAGCCACCAAGTAAGGTTTAGTGCTAAGTTCTGGCCTCGTGCCACTTAATGTCATTGGGAATAAATCACTGTCTGACAGCCGGTTCTATAGAAAAAAAAAAACAAAACAATAATTGAGTTTCATAGACTTTATCCTTATTAGTGGAAACCAAATAATTGGGTGGAATCCCAGTGTGTCTTCTCTTGCATAAACTTAGAATTGATTATAGAACTGTTCAGAGGAAAAACTTGCCACTAAAAATTGTTTTTTAAGGAAAACAACCAAATACCATCAAATGTAAAATCATGGTTTTTGCCAAGAGAGATGAGATTTTTAGTGCCAAGAAAACTCCACCCAACGGAACTTATGGTGTACATTTCTAGTGTGTTTTCAGATACTTGGATTTGGATTAATGGCAGTTTACCAATTAAATTGCAAACTGGAAAAAATACATTTTGAGAGTGGGGAAGAAAAATAAAGCCTTTCTGACAAAAGAAGGAGAATTAGCTCTGCTGATAGGGTGGGTACCTTTCATTCCAGGTATTCTCACATGTCTTTTACCTTTCAAGTTGCTGAATCAGTTGGAGATGTGATTTATGTTAAGAATGTTCAAGCTGTAGTCGAGTGTCAGAGATGAACATTGAAAAGTGAAAAAAAAAAAAAAGTGGCCCGTTAGACCTGGCATTGCCCAAGCCTATGAGCCTGGTTTATTCAAGGAATGGAGGGCAGAGGAGGATGGGACTTGGGGCAAAGTCTGTAGTCTGGGAAAGGAGGTGGGATAAGAAGGTCCTTTCCCTCATTTGGAGCCCTGGTGGCACGGTGGTTAAGAGCTACAGCTGCTAACCAAAATACCGGCAATTCGAATCCACCAATAATTCCTTGGAAACACTATGGAGCAGTTCTACTCTGTCCTATAGGGTCACTATGCATTGGAATCAACTCGATGGCAGTGGGTTGGTTTGTTTTGGTTTATCCCTCATTCAGCTGATGGCCACAAAGGTCTAGATGAGCTGAAAACATTTTCAGGATGCCCTAGGCAATTAATTTCATCATGAGTTTTTAGTACATCCTACTTTTTAGGAAGCCCTGGTGGCACAGTGGTTAAGAGCTTGGCTGCTAACCAAAAAGTCGACAGTTCAAATCCACCAGCCACTCCTTGGAAACCCTATGGGGCAGTTCTACTCTGTCCTATAGAGTGACTGTTATGGGTTGAATTGTGTCCCCCAAAAATGTGTGTCAGCTTGGCTAGGCCATGATTCCCAGTATTGTGTGATTGTCCACCATTTTGTGATCTGATGTGATTATCCTATGTGTTGTAAATCCTACCTCTATGATGTTAATAAGGCAAGATTAGAGGCAGTTATGTGAATGAGTCAGGACTCAATCTATAGGATT